TCCATTCTGAATTTTGTTCCCTATGTAGGTGCTGATAGACTGTGCTCAGATCAGCGCTCCTCCTTCTCTTTGGCATCTCTACATAGCCAATTAGTGCGCAAGAAGCCACGGTGTGACTCTCCAGTAGAGCAGCGTGTCATGTGGCCCTGCTAGGTACCCAGATGGTTCTGTCCTGCACGTTGATGGACAGCCGTGTACAGGGCAATGTACTAGGACCTTGGCATTTGCTGTAGCAAGGTCCACGTGGCAAGTGAATTTGCAGTATGGATCAGGCCTTTGGTATGAGTCTCCAGCTGGGTCAATTGCCAGTGTGGGCCCTGGGGCAAGTGGGAGGGGCAGCTCCTTGCCCCCAGAAGGGGTGGGCCTCAAGTGGAAGTGGTGGGTTTGAGGGCAGTCAGCCCTTAGTGCTACCCAGACTACAGCACCCGTCCCCAGTCCTTTGAGCCGTGCAGATTCAAAGGGGCTGGGGCTCCGGCCGCCACTGCTGTCACAGTAGCAGCAGGGGCAGCCAGGAGCTCTGGGCTCCCTTGAATCTCTGGGCCCTGAGGCAGTTACACTCGTCCCCTTTGGTGGGCCTGAAGGTCTCAGTCACTATAAGGTTTTCATCCCTCCTTTCATCGTTGTTTTGGGGCATCTTGGATCTCTGCCATTTTCCCACGGCCCTGTGGATTTGTGGGCAGTAGGGCTGGGTTCACACCTGTGCCGCTGCAGGAGTCAGGCAACTTCCCTGCTGCTCCTTGAGAGCCAGTCCCCTGTTCATATAAATTCAAGGGTCACATTAGCGCTGGGAGCTGCAGCGTCATCCTGGCTTCAGCTGATTATCCACCGTGACCCCTGAGTCCTTCACAGAGTGCCCAGCCCGAATGCTGGCCTGGGACGCATTAAAAAGCCTTTTGTAGCCAGTAATTCAGAGCCCGCCGCAGTTTCTTTCAGGGCGGGGTGTTGGAGCTGTGTGGATGGGGGTTGGTGCTGAAAGCTATCGAACCAAACTACAGCCCCTGAACTTCCAGCCGGGAGGGGCAGCAGGCTCCCGCACTGGTGCTTTTTCACCACCCATCTTCTGATTTATCCCTCCCCCAGGCTTTGTGTCACCCAGGAACTTAGCACTGCTGGGGTAACTGCTGGTGGCAGGGCACTAGAAAGGCAAGGTGGTGGCAGAACAGGTGCTCTGGGTAGTGTGAATGCAGATGTGAGTCTGATACAAGCGATCCCCTCACCCACCGTGTTGACCTAGAGATGGCGTCTGTAATTATATGTATTCCTTCCAGGTCTTTGATACAAAGTGTTAAACAGTGGAGGCCAAACACTGATCCCTGCAGGTCCTCACTAGAAAAGTACCTGCTTGATGATTTCTAATTACATCATTGAATGTGCACCATGTTAATTTTATATCTTTCTAGATTTTGTAATCAAAATGTCATGTGGGTACCAAGTCACATGCTTACTGAAATCTAAGGCTTTTACATCAACACTGTTACCTTTATCTGCCAAACTCATAGCTCATAACCTCATCTGAGAAGATGTAAATTTCCGTAAACCCCTGTGGATTGTTATTGCTGCCCTCCTTGAATTCTTTATTAGCCGAGTCCTATATCAGCCACCCCCATTGTCAGACTGCCTGACTTGTAATCACACAGCCTGTCCCGTTTTCTCTCGCTAACGACTGGCACAGCGTGAACCTTCTTGCAGTCCTGTGGATCTTCCCCAATAGGAGTGGTTCAGAGAGTTCTTGGGCCAACACCTTTTCTTTCTTCTGAGTGCATGAGAAATTGAAGCGACTGGGAGAATGGATATGAAAGAGGTGACATGAGGAAAGTGTAACTACTGATTGGCCAAGAGGTGAGGAGGAGATGGAGGGCTGGTTTTCCCTGTCTCTCAGCACCAGGACAGGGGACAATCAGTGACAGGAAAAGGACATTTTGTCACACACACACACACTGTGTAATTAAACGTGTGGAACTCACTGCCACTGGACATGCCAAGGCTGCTGGCCATGTGGTGGCTGCGGTGAGTGTCGTGTGTAAGTTCTAGCAGGGGCATTAGATGTCCTGCACTAAGCTCATCTCTCTCATGGCCCAGGATGAGCCCTTCCTGGGGGCTTGGCTTGCTCTAGCCCAGGCAATGTACCTTCACTCCAGTCCCCTCTCTGCTGCCCCTTGCAGGGAGGCATGAGAGCCAGGAGCCCTTCCTGGCCTGGCTGCTGCTGCTTAGCAACATGTCCTCCGTGCCCTGGGTGCACTCCGTGAGTTACGGGGACTACGAGGACAGCCTGTCGCGGGCCTACCTGGAGCGCGTCAATGTGGAGTTTATGAAGGCAGCGGTGCGGGGCTTGACAGTGCTCTTTGCCTCAGGTACGTGCAGCCTGCCTGTGCCTCTTGCCCTCTGAGCGGGCTGAGCCCCCCAGCTGGGTGGGGAGAGGGGTGCCTGGCTGTCTCCTCTGGCCCCAGCTGACCCAGCACGCCTGCCTTGCAGGTGATGAGGGAGCTGGCTGCAGGAAGGTTGCTGGAGGGAGCCACACATTCCGGCCCAGCTTCCCAGCCTCCAGGTAACGGGAGGAAGGGAAGGAAATCTGGGGTAGGGAGTGCCCTGGCGAGGGCTGGGGGTGCAGTTTGGCCCACGGCAGAGTGCTCCCAGCACAGCCCCAGCCCGTCTGCCCCCACGAGGGGCAGAAACACACGGGGCTGGGGGAGGAGGACGGGTTCCCCGGGACAGGGAGAGGCCTGAGGACCCCCGCGCTGGTTGGGGAGGGGATGTGGGGGCAGAGCCACAGTCAGTGCAAGGGCTGGTCCCCCATGCAAAGTTTTCCCTGGTGCCTGGCCAGAGCAGCTCCCCCTCTTCTGTCCCCACAGCCCCTACGTCACCACGGTTGGCGGCACAGCATTTAAGAACCCCTTCCGAGTGACCTGGGAGGTGACTGACTATATCAGCGGGGGGGGCTTCAGCAGTGTCTTCCCTATGCCTGACTACCAGGTGTGTGCAGCTGGGCAGGGTGGTGATGACTGGGCTGGGAAGGGGCGGGGGGCTGGGCCAAGTCTCGGGTGGGCGCTGCTGGATGGGCCACATAGGCTCGGCAGTAGCTGCAGAAGCCCCACCAGGCCAGGCTGGGGGTGGGCCTCAGGGGCAGAGCAGTAACTGGTGGGGAGGGTTGGAGATAGGGTGGAAATGGTGGGTGAGGGGTGGGGGAAGAGGCAGGATTGGGGCTGCTGGGTTGGAGCAGGAGATGGGTAAGATGACAGCTTCTGGGGCAGGGATAGGACAGGCAGTGCCTAGCAGGCTGGATTAGGCTGTGGCTGGGGGTAAGATAGGGGCTGGTGGGGGATGGGGCGGCTGGCGGGTACATTGGGCTGTGGTGCGGGCAGAGGCAGCTAGC